GACAACCCTGCAAAGAAGTAAGATCGGAGGTATGTGTATGCCCATTCCCCTCGTCTGTCAAATAAATCCGAAACCCATCCAGAATTTTCAAGTTGGTGACTTGACACCAATTCTGCCCATTTTTCTTCGAATTCAGCCGCTTCAAGATCAGCATATACAAACGTCTTCCATTGAGGCTCAAATGCTTTATTATTCTTGAGACAACTCACAATGTTCTTGGCGATATGCCATGAACACAATCGATGAATTGCAGTAGGAAATACTTTCTGAATGGCATTCCGCATCGCTTTGTCACCGTCTGTTACAATCGTACGAGGTTCCTTGTCTCCCATTGCTTTCTTCAACTTCCCCAGAACCCAATCATAACTCTTTTCTGTCTCGTTAGCCAATAAAGCACATCCAAATATACAGCTCTTACGATGATGATTGATACCTAAAAAGTGATATAGAAGTTATGTATAGCTAAATAAAATACGTAGTGACGGATCAAGTTTGATAAGAGAAAAGTTGTGCACCTGAGAAAACAACTAGCGGCATGTTATAAATATTTTTCTTGTATGTAGTATCAAAAGCTAGCAAATCTCCAAAGCATGCCATATCTGCTATGCTTATGCTGTCCGCCCAGAACACGCTACAAAGTCTCTTATCTTCATCAAAAGTGGGTTCGAGGATGAAGTGGTTGTCTATGCTGATTTTTGATTTTAGATACGCTAGTGCAATAGCAACATCTCCTTCACTGATCCTTTTTTTCGATCTTTAGAGGCAAAATTATGCAAATCCTTTTTCGTATGTCCTACTTTATCATTGCCTCCAGCTTTCTGAACATGCTGATTCATGATATCAGCCGTTCTCATACCTGCATCTCGTTTGTAACGTACTTCAGACTTTGTTGCTTCATTTAAGCGTCGATGGGATCTCATATGATGCACCAATTTTTTCCCAAACGGATCATGGGTATGATAGACATTGAAAGCATCGAAAACGAACTTAGAATCTGACCTGTCCAGATGAACATGCATCAGAGCTTTACATTCAAACCTTGTAATGCATCTCGCAGATCTCTGTATTTACTTTCCTCTTTTATGTTTTGTTCCTGCACTAGAGCAGACAAATTTTTGAGAAGTGATTTGCCCTTCTTTGGTTTTATATTTCTTTTCTCGTCCCACCGAAAACCCCCAAGCTCTGGCGTACTTGTTGTAGAAAGCATAAGCTTCCTCAATGTTGTTGAACTTCCTACCAATGACTTGATCGTCGGTAAGGCTTGCCAGATTTTCATTCTCCTCGTCATCTCCAGTCAGAGGGTTCTCTTCGTTGGAAACATTGTGGTCAGCATCATCATCATCACCATTCACATTGACTTCTTCGATGGGGATATCGGTATCATCCTGATCATCATATTCTTCTCTCTCGACAGTAAAATCATCCATGTCTTCACAGTGGCTATCCTGCCTGGCAGTAGCATGATTTTCCTCTCCTGCCATGTGTTAGACCCTTAACGTATGACTTTCCAGCAAATCATAGACACAGATCAGTTGGAGATTGTTGCTCATAAATCTAACGTAACACTATCTACATTTGTGTTTGACGGTCACCTGTTAGCTTTTTTGTTGAACTTCTTTTCCACCAAAATTATATAAGCAGGTTTCAAACCCTTCATACAGCTTTGAAACTGCTTCTTTCCACGGTTCTCTTTGTTTCCTATGCTTGTAATCCCAATATGTTTTTATGTCAGATTGCGTCAACGGGAGCAGTTCCAATTGTGCTTGATATGAAAACGGTAAATAATTTCATACATTTTGTTGTGGACTGTTTTGTGACGTTTTATTTTTTTGAACGAAAACTGTTTTGTTCCTTATTTCTAGCGTTAGGCTGTTTGACATTGTTAAACATGTTTCCACTTTTTTTTTTGCTCACATGAATTACGGATGGGGTCCCTTTTCACTTCTCTCTTCCCATCCCCTCTCAATGGGTTCATAGAAGACGGAAACAACTCATTTTCTTCCATTGGTATTGGATCTGAAGAAATAACTTCAGTAGAGGATGTGTGCTTCGCTGTTGAAGCTGTAGGGAAATCTGAACCAGAGATTTGGAAATTTGTGCTATGTTATTTGTGTTGTGCAGGCCTTTATGAGTCACAATAATCAGGACCTCAGAATGAAGGTGAATTAGCTAAAGCTGTATGTTCTGTGGATCTTTAGTTCTATGGGTTGGTTTAATGACTACATTAACATTCAACTCGAGAAGCTGTTCAACACGAGAAGCTCATGAAGTTTATTACTTTTCCACTTCCACTTTTGCTCATCTCTACTTCTTCTTGCCATCAACAGATGTTTGGATTGTCGCTGCAAGTTCCTCTGCTGCAGCATTTTTCATCGTCAAAGCAACAGGTATGGCAACATGGTGGGAGTGGAGTAGTCTTAAGCTTGACTGGATATTTAGTCACTTTAGAGTTTAGAACTAGCTAACCTAAGCTAGCTTCTGCTAATCCTTGCTTTGTCTCTCACTTTTTGGATTCCATTTTTGGAACATTAATCAAGATATTGTAAACACTACTTTATATCTTAGATTCTATGGTTTGTGGGTGTGATTCAAATGGAAGGTTTAGTGAAGCTTTGGAAAGTTTAGTTGATATGTTGGAAGAGGATTTTGTGGCTGCTATTGTGACAATAGTCATTTCTCTTTCTTCTGTTTCAGGCTGTGTTTGAGTAAAGGTGAAGCTACCTGGTGTTTCTTAACTGGTGAGCTTAGTGTGGGCAGAGAAGTAGTATGCTGTATGTTGACTTGATGATTTTCATTTACTTCCTGCTATTGATTGGTACTATTAACTTACCCTGATTTGTTATAATTGAGCATGGAAATCTGACATGTTTCTAACGTTATTTATTTATATATTCGCAGCGGGTATGAGATGGTACATGGAAGAAAGAAATGGAAGAAGTCAGGCTTCTCAGTTGAGAGATGAGCTTGTCAGTCTCTGTTCCTGACCTCTTGCATTCTACTTACAATCGGTTCATTCTATATATTGATTTTGTATTATGCTCTTTTACTTATATATATGACCTCCAGCCTTTCTGGATCTCTGAGCCCTGCTATCGGATTTCTTACCCCGCAATGTCAATGGTCGTTACATGGCTACCCTTTGTTGTTTCTCTACCTCACCTCTGCAATGTGGTTCTGTTTCTCTTTGTACTGTCTTGTATCCACTTTAGCTACTCATACAGACCATGCTCTCATTATCCTCATTTTGTATGTTTTATTTGCATGTACTAGAGCTCGTAGCAACACCATGTTGTTTCCATTCTCATTTTCCCTTCCAGCTCTACCATAATATTCCTCTACTTCATCTGCTGCTCTTGCACCTAAAGTTGGCCCTGATGTTGTTTGTTAACCATTTGACCAACCAAGTGCATAGTATTGGAGTTCTGGCCCATAGTAGCTTCCAAATGGGAGAGTGGGTTCAATGGAAGCGTTATTGGTTGATGATGTTGAAGTAAAGCATTTGTTCCTGCTGTTGAGCGTCAAGTTTCTGCTGCTTCAATGTGTTGCTGCTGCTGCCATGTCCTTTTCCTATGAACGAAATTTAACTATTTGGCAAACTAATGTCATTTTTAGTTCATAAACAAAAGCATCTATATATTTCATGGGTAATTTAGAACATTTCTCATTCTTGTCAATACGATGTACTCTTTATCTGCTTCTTTTTCATTGCTGCATATCTCAAAGTTCTCCTTTAAAAAACTGATGTGCATGCTCATTTTCTTTTACCAATTGAGACAAACTATTAAGTATTCTCTTGACCATAAGTTCAGTGTAAGATTTGCTCCTCATTGCAAGTCACCGATACACGACTGATAGGCATACCAATCAAGAATTACCTTAACAGTAACCTCTTCGATACTCATTAGAAGATGATATTGCATCAACTTAAGTACCGCCGTTCTCTCAAGTGATGTACTGTGATGGGTCGTTTGTTTCCGACTCGAGATTGGCGGCTTATGGGATTACTTTTGTCAATTCTCATGGTCAGGTGTACGACGGCAAGGCTGAGACTTTCCTGTGTTCGCATCCGATTCAGGCTGAAGCCCTTGGTCTCCTCAACGCCATCCTGCTTGCGGTTCATGATGGGATTCCAACCTGCATTCATACGGATTGCCAAGTGCTTTCTCTTGCTCTCAATCAGGACCCCTCGGCATGGCCATGGCATTGTTGAGCTACCATTGCTTATATGTCTCTCCTTCTTCGGTGTGCTCCTTGGATCCGGATTGAGTTCGTTCCCTGATGGCTTAACCGACTTGCAGATTGGGTTGCTCGCCAAGCTAGGGAAGCTTCGTTACCTTTGGAATGGATCTTAATTGTTAATATTATTGCACCATTGTTGTAACGAACATTTGGGGCCTTTTCGGATGAAATACAAGGATTCTCTGATTGTCAAAAAAAAAAAAAAATATTAAGTCCCCGGGCGTATTGCAATGGATATAAAATATATCGTAAGGAAACCTGGTGCGACCCTAAACGCCCACCAACGAAAATAATATATATTGAAAGGAAACAAAATAGGAACAGTAACATAGAAGAACTTCGAAGGAAAGAATCTCTGCAGTTTCCACCATTCTTTTCCTCAAATTGAGCCATTGTTTGCTGCGAGGGGGGAAAGGGAAAGAGAACGCTTCCAACACAAAGTTCAACAACACAAATATACCAAACTACCAAAATCACCAAACATATGAAATCAACCTGTGAGACCACTAAACATCATCCAAGAGATCCAACATACTTTAATTCGATGAAATGCACCATGTTTGGTTCCATCACCTCAAAATTATTGATTAGTTCCAAAAACCAAACACCAAAAAACTTATAAAACAATAAGCTAGCTACGTACCTCCGTATAAAGAGGTATGTTTTATTGAAACTCCTAACAAAGCCATTACAGCTGGACTATCGTGCCACGCCTAATTGTCCAGCGTGTCCCCCTCCATGCTCTCCACATGCCCACCTCTTCAACCACTTTGACTTTGCCCAACTAATTCCCGGTAAATTTGATCTCCAACCTCATTGTCTTTGTTATTCAGCATAAAAAGGGCTAGTTCAATCCTCTCCTCCTCGCTGTCAAACTAAAAGTGAAAACAAACATTGCATTCGATTATTATTAACGACACCGAAATACAACATGAGGACAAGAGCGTACCCTTTTTCTCATTCCCCGCAAACAATCATCTAAATTGCCACCGCTTCTCATCAATTTTAGCACAAACAGTCCACAATCAAACCTGAGCACAAAAAAATTGGAGTTAAAAATAGTACACAACTTATTAGACAACAAATAAGTCAAAGAGAGAACACTCATAAGGATACCCATTCTGTTTCCTGGGAGCATTAACCACAATCTCAACAGTGAAAGAGACGAGCATGTCACATGCATATCTTCTAATGATCTCCACATAAAATAGCGAGTCCAGTTCATTGGCCTATATGGTGTGCACCAAACAAGTAATTCAACATATATACAAATGAGAAAAAATTAAGATAACATGCTATGGACGATGTCACTTACGATTTGTTTCACTTTTTCTTCCATCATAATGGAATCCAGGAAGTTCGGAAATGAATCCCATATTTGAATGACCTTTTGATTAAGGTCAAACACACTTAGGAAGAAGTGTTTGTCCACCAGCACAGGGGCAAAAATCTAAAAAAGGTACATATATTAGTTGAAAACTCAGAACACGAACACTATAATGAAGAAAAAACCCATCTACACCTACCTTCTCACAGTCACTGAATTCTTCTGCACTGTACATTGTTTTTAGGGTCTCCTCTGAGTAAGCAAACACGCGACCTCCAGCCTTCCTTACCTAAAATATGCACCGTGCACAAAACATTTTACATAGATGGTGAAATTTGTGAGAAATGGAAGGGAAAATATAAATCCACTTACACCAAATGCTGGCGGTAAGAACCAATGCACACGTCTCTTCTCACAAAAGTCCTCTAAGGTTAACAAGTCTGTGCACATAGTCATTATCTATACAAATATACAACACAAAATCAATATACAGTAAACAACCTCTACCCTTTAAAACCCTTTTATGCTGATTTTAATCTTTAAAATAAATGTAACACTAACCTGGGTAGACAACCATGTTTCAGGTAATAGCAACTTAAACTCTGCACGGTTTAAATGAAACCATGGAGATTTGACCAACACCTCACTACAACAGTAAATAAGATATTCATTGAGGGATACCAAGAATTTGCCAAAAAAGTATTCTCAGTAATTTCATTTGATTTTTCATACGAGACAAACTTAACAAGGAAAAAGTGTGAACAAAGATTAGAAGTATCAGCAAAGAGAAGAGAACTATGACAAATCAGAAAGATATTATTGCTCAAAACTTTTTTAAAATACAAAAGATAATATAAATTAGTTTACACGATAGAAGAAATGAAAACCCAACTGGAAACAAATTAATTTTACCTTGCATCCTTTGACTGATCGAATGCATGCCTGATTAGAAGCTTATCCCTTTTTGATACATGTTGTGTACTGGTGAAGGGTCCGATCACTTGTTTTGCGGAACCTCTCCTCTCGGTATCTTGTCGGGTCAAAATAGGACTCCGTACCCTAACCGGAGACTTCAAAACAACCTTTCCCTAGCAAAAATCCAGTACATTCAGAAAGTCAGAACACAGTCAAAACAGAAAGATAAAACAAAATAAAGGAAAACACAACACCTTTCTCTTGGTGGCAGTGCTTGTCATCTTTGGCTTACTCCTTGCTGACAGCGAGAAGGAGCTGTCGCTGCTAATGTTGACTACTTCAACAACATCATCTTTCCTCTCCTTCTTGACATTCTCGACGTTATCACCCAATCTCGATAACAATAAGTCTCTCAACGAATTCATCCCTACCCTCAACGAATTCATACTCTCCTCGAACTCCCTTTTCATGGTAAGCTGAGTGTTTGCCAAGTTAGCCATGAGAAAATGTAGGCTCGCCAGCTGCATAGGAAATAGGCAAAGTTTAGGTCGCAGGAAATACGAACGGAATTGTAGCAACAATAAGACCTCACAAATTTTCTTACGAATGGGGGAACTTTATTGAAGTGTAAAAAAAAGTCCAAGCAAGGCCTTTGGTTGCCAAGAGCTCAACCAAACAACCATAACACAAAAGAAGCACAGATAGGTGGAGTAGCCCATCACTGCTGTTACAATCTAAAAAGATAAACAAAAACAACGGAAACCTCAACACAACAACCACGAAGCCAAGAAAAACACAGCATAGCCAACCACAATGGCTTACAAAAGTAATAACTGCACATATTTTACCTCATTTGATTTCAGGTGATCAGGTGCTGCCGTTTCCTTGTCTAAGCTAAAAAAACATAACCAACATAAACAAACGTAAGCAAGGGCCATTACAAAGCAATGAACAAAGCCAAGCAAAATAGCACACACGCACCTTGCCATGACACTAGTGGATTTTTGGCTCTGCAGTTGAAAATAATAAACACAGTAGTCACAGAGATGAGATGCTTAAATAGACAACCGTCAGTTTTGATGAAAAAGGGATCTGATTTTATATTTTCTGTTATGATTTTATTATTTTTTAGTGTTTCAAATGATTAAAATAACCCATCCCAACAACTAAATACAATAGAAATAGATGGGGAATGGGATGATATCAGATGCCGTCTTATCGAATAAAAAATCTTAAGAAGTTCAAGATATCACAAGAAGTAAATTTTGAAATACAATATTTATCCCATTTTCAACAATTTCGTATAAAAAAACTCAGCAGACTTATTTGATAAAAACAAACAATACAAAATCACATTTACAAGTCTCGGTTGGACTGAAACAATAGAGTTCCAGTGATAAAAGCGCACCTTTTGTTTTTCAGCTGCAAATATGATCAATTATGGGATCGTCAAGCCACAACGGCTTCCCTGTAGCTGTTGACACAATGACCAAGCTGATAAATTACGGATCCCCTCTCGATGGACTCCTTGTACCGATGCTCTATTGGGTCACCTTGCTGCAATAGTTTGATCCCACTTAGAACAATTGTGAAAGAAATCACCACTTTCATCTTTCCTCTGGATGAGAACAAGCAATAAATTACCTTATTAAGCTCCTCAAGCTTGGCAATATAAACACCCTTGGTCTCATCTTCTCGGCTTTCATACATCCAGTCCTCAACCTGCTGCAGCTTTGTCAAGAGTTCTTCCCTCTCCGGCTCAGTGAAAATCTTGATACTATCAAGGAGCAGGACCATGAAACCTCAGTTAGCACATACATATCGTGATGGAAACATCCAAAACAAATAACACATTCCCACGACCTGGCTTCCGCTCCTTTTGAAAATACCAAGTGTCGCGTCTCCTCCCTTTCCAGCGACAATCATATCTCCTGTTCCATTCATCTTAGCATCACCGACGACCTGGCTTTGGCTCCTTTGGACAATACTCCCTAACTTTTGCTTCCCCTGTCCTTCCAGCGCCAAACCCAGTCTCCCGCCGCAGCCTCATCCTCTCCCGCTGCTCTTGCCAGATCCCGTCTCCCACCCTAACTCCGCCCGCTCCAGGCAACCAAGTTCTCCGACCTAATCCCCGACCTAATTTCCTGAATCGCTTCCCTCATCCTCCTGAAAAGCCCTTTCAATTACTTCTTCGGTCAAATACCCTATCGCTTGATTGGCGCCGACTCTTTTATAGGTACCTCTCCACGAAATCGCCATCGCTTGCCCAATTGATTGCACTCGCTCATCTCTCGGAAAACTACCTGAGAAGACCATCCCTCTTGCGTCCCATCCCCATATGATGTGTCTCTTCCCTTGCAGAGCCTTCATCCTGGGGGAGATCGACCTCAGGATCTAATGACGAAGATGAAGGAGAAAGGCAGATGGAGAACGAAGATGGTAAAAGAGGTAAAGACCGTAGGAGATGAATGGTCTGTGCTTCTGTGAGTGTGGAGTCTTTCTCAAATAAAAAGATGAACATCAGGTTTAGTGGTAAATTCTAAATGATTAACGAAAACAACTTGGATGGAATTTTACAACTTTCAAATAAAGATGGAACTACTTTTGCAATAAGAAATTTGTGGGTAATAAATCAAGATTGTTAAAAATTATGGTACCGAAAATTTTATGTCAGATATATATGTGATTGAATTAAGTTTAAAATAATTTGGGACTAAATAGTAACAAAAATTAAATTAATAAGGGTAGTTGTAATTGTACTTTTTAGTAATTATTAATTTAATTATAATTAATTAGAAATGTTAGTAAGTGTGAACAGGGGCGTACGCTAAGGTTAGCGTACGCCCAGCCTGAACCATATATATATATATACTCTAACACTTATATATGGCGAGTTCTACGGTACCCTGGGTAAAATCCGGGGTACCGCATACCCTGAGTATGAAAACACTATCTAGACCTTGAATTGACCGATCTTTCGGACATGATACTATACTCTAACACTTAAAGATCAAAAGCTAGGTGTTAACTCTCCCAATATTATACTCCAAGATCAATTTAATTAGAAATAATAATCGACGGTTATGATTCATCCAAATATAGGCACAAAAAGGAATGCACCATCTTAGGGTTTATAGATTATGATTTAGATAATTATGACCTAGGGTTCACTCATTAAGGGTTAGGGTATAATATCAGACACAAAAATCCTGGTAATTCGAGGTCTAGATAGAGTTTCCATACTCGAGGTATGCGGTACCCCGGATTTCACCCGGGGTACCATAGAAGCCACCATATATATATATATATATATATATATATATATATATATATATATATATATATATATATATATATTAAGAACTCTATTATTCACTAATGTATGCATTCCAAACATATTTTACTCAAATACTTTTATATAACAATGAATGACTCCCTAAATTTCGCATAGTTTTCAATGAAAGATGAGATGCAGTTAATTGATTTATGAGCTCAAATATACTTCCATACCACTAAAGCTACAATCGTTATGGTCTTTAGTTGTTCACTCACGTCTGTCAATGTTTACAGGTGCATATTTTGCTATGAATTTTTTTTATAAAGGTGAAGATTAATTAAAAAAGTTGAGATACAACTAGTTCACGGTTCAGCAGGACTGAACCTGGGAAGAGACAAGCAACGCTTAAAAAACAAGGCAGGAGAAGCGGAAAAAAAAACCAGGAACAACAATTGAGTAGAACAAAAAAATGTTCCCATGAAACGAGGAGGCTACTGTGACATATTCCCTTCGAGCCACTGAACACATGTGTTCCTATCAATATTTCCATGAACCACAATCCACTCAATTATAGCCTGAGTGATGCAACGAGCGATGATGTTGCCAGGAGTGGAGGCTTCATGAAATATGCAACGATTGCGCTCAAGCCAAATGTACTAGCACACAGCGTGAAGGCAGCAGAAGCGAAATCAGCCTTCGAGGTCGTCAGGAATAGTAGAAGGCCATCTTCGAATTGTCTCGATAATGCTTTGAGGAGCATCATGCAGCCTCTTGCATCTTCGGCGGATGAAGTTCCAAACAAGCTTCGCATAATGACATCCGAGGAACAGATTGTCAGCAGTCTCTTCATTTTGATAGCAGAGCTCACAACGACTTGCAAGTTCCCATCCCTTTCTTTTTAAATTATCGACGGTTGGAACTTGGAACCCTGTTGTGAAAGAGGGTCCAGATGAAGAAGCAAATTTTTGGAGGGATGATGCTCTTCCAGATAGCGCCACAGGGGAATGCAGGATCACCCGGATGTGATTCATCATTTATACACCTATATATAGTAGAGACAGAGAAATGCGAATTCGGTTTTAGAGTTCAAACGGGTCTGCAGGGACTACATAAATTATTAGACACACTCAAAGAATTAAGATGGAGAAGCAAGTTTTCTTTTTCTCTCAATGCACCAACTCTCAATGAAATGTTGAGTTTTAAATCCCACTAGAATCAATACCCACGGCTACGCCACGGGGACTTAAGTTGCAACAATATCATCTTGTAATAAGTAGTGAGAAGGTTGTGTAGGTGACTTGCAATGGGAGCAACATCACACTAAAAACAGTACTAAAAGAATGCTCAATTGTCTGCCTCAACTGGTTAAAGATAGCGCTTGCACATCACAGTATGAGAAAATGAGTTTTTGAAATGAGAACTTAATATCCGCAACAACGAAAAGGAAGCAGATACAGTGAGTATATTACATTGATTAGATGACACATGAAAGGGCATCTTCCAACAAAGGAGAGCTTAATTATCATCCGAAGCAAAACATGAACTTCCCATTAAAGCCTTAAAATAACATCTCCCAGAAAGCTTCTCATTAAACTTGATTTTGAAGTTTCTAATATCCACCACAGTAACATGAATAGATTATGAGTTTGACAAAATGGCTTCAAAAGATTGCTGAAATTGACAATCAACAAAAGGCATTTATTACACAGGCGAGACCAACCTCCAAATTGAAAAGAAAAGAACGATTTCTCTCCTAACCACTCGGATCAATGTCTGAAGACCTCTTACAATTCAAAATTTGAGCAATTTTGGAATAAGTCGTGTAAAGTTGCTCTCACAATCCGTTAAGTGTAGTTTTTATCTCGTGCGAAACCATAAACAATTTCGCCAGTTCCATGTAATCCACCCTCAGGCGTCATTTTCCTATGCACTCTTGGAGCTAGAACCTATACCATGCAGAAAATTAGATACCCTGGTAGTCCATGCCGTAAACGATGAGTGTTCGCTCTTGGTCTACGCGGATCAGGGGCCCAGCTAACGCGTGAAACACTCCGCCTGGGAAAGTTCACACGTTATATTTCAAACTTCTATGAATGAACTTGAAATATTGAACTAAAAAACTGAACTAAAAAATTGATGCAAAGCAACTGAGACACCATTCCAGGAGAGCCAGAAATCTTTGCAAACTATACTGAAATCGATGCACTAAATTGAGAAATAGGTAGCGGAAAATGGTAGACTGAGCTTCCAAGTCCCTTCATCTCCTATTCTCACTGTTGCACTCCTTTGTCCATAACCAATATGAATCAATCAAGCACTTAATGAAGCACTCCAATCAAACAAAACTAACAAAAGAATTCAGTATCCCAGAAGGCCAGAACATTCAAATAGAAGAAGAAAACTTACCTATGTTTCTGAATTCATTCCAAACCTCAAGCATCTTGTCTCCGCTATAAAAATTATCTGCTCTTCATCTGCAAAGGGCATTTTTCGAGCACCAGAAATGTCTTGAGAAGGCTTGCTGGTTTTATCTGGTTAAACCACTGTTTTGGGTTATTTACGTGACGAAGGAGAGATCTTAGGAGAAGTCAAGACAGTGCTTACCTCCTTGTTCCACCACTGTTTTGGGTTTACTAACAGAATTAATTGGAAGAGTCAGCATGCAAACCTTATTGCAAGTGGTTATTGGATAATAGAAATACTCTCACTTGCCTTCTCACTTGAAGAACCAACCATAAATAATAAGCAAGCACCCAAGATCACATCAATTGGACAGGGTGTCAGGGTTGGGACATCAGAACCTGTTACAACATAAAAGTTTGGCATGAACATCAGAGAAATTTCATAAGCAGCAAGGTTTACAATGCAAAACATTTGGGTGCAAAGTTACCATTCAAGGACAAATCAACATAAAGCTCTTAGTAACCTTTTTTATTTTTTGTACAATCTGCAGGCACAAACTGTCATCATCATTTATGAGGAACTCAATGCCCACAAATGATCACAGCTGAGAAATGGCGATATATAACAGAGATAACAAAAACCATATTTGGGCAAGAACACTCCAGCTCCATCGAGAGCCTGATCTTAGCTTTTATTGACGGTCATGGCATAGCAAATTTGGATAAGGAATTGCCTTCTCTTCATCGTAAAAGGTCATCTTTCACCATGAATATTTACAACAATTCTCAATATAGCAATCAAACCATGCAAAATAATAATAATAATAATAATGATAATAATAATGGTGAATAGCATTAAAGAGAAGAGAAAGGAACTGCACAGAAAAGAGAGTTGTGCAAAGCAAGGTATGAGTCGCCTCATACCAGATAAGACACAACCCCATCACCAAGCAAAAATCAAAAAGAAGATACCAACAGTAAAAGAGCATGGTGGTAATTTTAATTACCATTAACCTTATGATCTTATACAATTCTGCAATCGTTAAGGAAGAAAGAACATTTACCATATGCCTAAGAAAGAATCCTGCAAGCTTAAATGAGAGGAAAAAATATAAATTTTCAATAGAAAAGTTTAAAAGTAATCTAAACACAACTCTTTTGTTTTTGGTACAACACAGGAAAACAGAGGGAATTGGTTAATTCTTAACCTTTTAATGACAAACTTATTACATAATGCTCTGCGGCTCGTCCTACAACCCTCCACCAGAAATGCTCTATTTTGCCCAAGTCCATCTGGTGTTTGAAACTGGAATAAAAATGTCAAACATCATTAGATTTGCAGCCAACGATAATAGCATAAGTGCATAACCCATCTTGTGAAAGTGTAAAGTGAGGCATCAAGCATACACTTCGTCGGATTGTATTAGCCGGACTTAGAGCCCGAATAGGAGAACAGCGAAGTAGACAAAGAGAAAACTAAATATAAACCCATGAAGCAACAAATAACATTCAGAATAACTGTTACCCAAGTGGGTTGAAACAAAACTCAGAAAACAAATAGAAGCAATTAGAAACGTAAACTGTAAAAAATATTAAAATCACTTGTACCCATCCACCATTTCAAAGACACAGAACATCACTAACCTTTGCTTGTATCTTTGATTTCTACGGAAGTTGTGACACGGTTGTCCACTCCCCTCGCTTGAGTGTGCATACTCTCCAACGTTGTTATCGAATCCACGCAAATTGAACCAATTTCTTGGAACTGAAAACCCTGAGGTCACTCCGTTCTCTTTCATTGGGTTTAGAGAGAGACACATAAGAGAGGGATAAACTTTGCGAGGAACATTGGGGGATTTCAGACAAAGGAAAGCGAAAGATATGGTTAAACTGGGTTGGGTAGTGGGAAAGGAGTTGACTGGTGATATGGGTTCTTCCATGGATATTGGCGTGTTGAAAGAAGTTGCATGGCGAAGTGGGTTGCAGTTGAGAGAAAGAAGAGAAGTGCTCGTACAATTGATGGATGGTAGCGTGTCGGGCAGAAGCGGAGATGTATATTGAGCGGGAAAGCAAGGTCCCCGGGAAAGAGCCCAAGACTGTTTGATATGGTCGAAGGACGAAAGAACTGAAGGGGGCCCTGAACTTGCAGATCTTTTTGCAAGTCCGCGATAGACGTACAGAAAGGATGGGTGAAAAATCGACCTAGATCAGGCGGTGGGAGAATGGTGATTTGACCAATGAAGCGGCGGGTGTGCGACAGACGGCGACGACTCCATCGTGGGGAGCAAGCTGAAAGAGGAACCAGAAACTCCTTTGGAGTAAACGACAAATAGTGAAACAGTAGTGTCAACCAAGTGAAGAAATGGAGTTGCATAGGAATCCTGATGCTGTCTGGATTACGAGGAAGAAGAAGGAGTTTCACCAGAGAAACGTTTCTGAAGACATTTTATTTTATAGCCGCTTTATGTGTTGAACGTTGTCGTTTTACTTAGGCTTAATACCCGTTGTTAAGAACTGTTTACATTTTGTAATAGCCAATGGCACACTGCCACTTGGCCAACTCTGGAGTGATTCTGTTTTATCAGAACACACTGCTATATAATGGAATCAAAGGCAGCTCTCTAGCTTTTGAGGGTTTGCCAATTCTCTAAACCTAGAAGGCTTTTATGGTATCAGAGCGGTCAAGCAACTAGGGCAACCATGAACACGCCGCCGGGTTCCTAGGGTCGCCCAAATTCATCTTCGGGAAACACCTCTCAAGGGGCTCAAGCGGGAAATGGGTCTGGTCCTCATGCTTTCCAATTTGGGTCGTTTGATGAGCAGCAGCAACAACAACTCTTTGATGGAGCCAGAAACGATGTCATAACCTTCGATAATCCTTACTACCTAAACCCAAATGAAGCCTTAAATCAATATATAGGATCTGAGGTTTTTGATGGTAGTAACTACACTATGTGGAGTCGTTCTGTGATAATGGGTTTGAAGATGAAGCACAAGCTGGGTTTTGTCGATGGTACTATACCTATGCCAGCTAGAACAGATCCTAATTTCTTATTGTGGGATGGTTGTAATACTGCTGTGCTGTCATGGATACTTAACTCCCTGAAAAAGGATTTAAGGAGATCTGTCATGAGCCATGTGAATGCTAGAGTTTTGTGGGATGAACTGAAGAAGAGGTATGGGAAACCAAATGCCATCAGAATAACAAATCTGGAGGATGACATACACAAGTGTAAGCAGGGCACTCAAACCATTAACCAATACTATACTGAAATTAAAGGGTTATGGGAGGAGTACCTGTAGTTCAATCCTATTGTGCCCTGCAACTGTGCTCCAGGAAACCTAAATCCATGTGATGCAGTGGTAGCTTACACTGAGAGACAAGAAGCTGACTACCTGATTCGATTCCTGAGGGGTCTTAACCCAGATTTTGAGATAATCAAGAGTCAATTGCTTGCACAGAAGACATTGCCTACTGTGTCAGAAGCAGTTGATGATTTGCTGCAATATGAGCAGAAATTGAAGGCTGAGAAGGGAAGTACTGTGACACACCAAAGTTTGCAGGGTCAGTCTCTCAAGCAAGTTCAGGAGACTCATCAACTGAGGTGAGTTATAACAGTGACACACCAGATGGTAGTCCTGTGAGTCCAGCAAAGGTAGTGGCAGCCTTTACTCCTGAAGAGGTTAACAGACTTAGGCTAATGATGCAAACTGGTGCTAACTTAAGCCCTTCACCACCTCATTCACCTTTCATTTCACACCATGCCTACTCAGTGTCCCAGTATCTACCTCCCTTTCCTA